GATTAAAAGGACTGTATTCTTTGGATGTTGGGTTTAGCGGTTTCCCACAGTTTTAGTCCTTATTTATTACTATCTTGTTGACTTTCAGTTTGTTTTTTGTTGAAACGTTTGATTTGCTTGCCAGTAGTCTGTAGAGTAGGCCGAAAGTTGACAAAAAAGGCCGACTTTATAATATATTTGAAAATCTGATATCGTATTAACGTTGACTTATTCTTTTCAGTAACGCATCATCATCATCATCATCATCATCCAGTAAAAAAAGACAGTCTGATTTGTGCTTCAACTTACATGATTCCTTCACTATAAAAAGAGAATGGTACATGGGCGAGGGACAGCAGAGAAAAAGCCGAATTGTTTGCTAGTTACCTTGCTGAAATCTTCAAACCAAATGAAAACATCAATGGCAGCTTACTAACAACCACTCTACAACAAGAAAATATAAAGCTAGTTTCACGTAAAAAAGTAGCACAAGAAATTAAAAATTCACCTCCTAAAAAGACTCCATGGTATGACCTTATCACTGGAGAAATACTAAAACAATTGCCAAAAAAGTGTATAATTGAACTAGCATACCTATTTAATGCTGCAATCAGATTGAAATATGTTCCCAGCATCTGGAAATTTGCAGAAGTCATTATGATAAGAAAAAATCTAGGAAAACCGGCGAACGAGGTCAAGTCATATAGACCAATATCGCTACTACCGACGTGTCTAAACGTTTCGAAAATTTATTATTAAAACGAATAAAACTCATTGTAGAAAAAAATAAAAACATCCCTGACCACCAATTTGGATTGCTAACAAGGCATTCAACAATAGACCACATTCACGGAGTAACGGACATAATAGAAAAATCACTTGAAGAAAAATTTGTTCTGCTATCTTCCTTGTTGTCTCACAAGCTTTTGTGAAGGTCTAGCACAAAGGACTTATCAACTAAAAGGGATGCAACCAAAGCAGTATGTCGATATTATCAGTTCCTACCTAACTGACAGACTGTTTAGAGTCAGACAAGAAGATCAATATTCAAAATTAAAAACAATAAATGCATGAGTGCCACAGGGTAGCATATTAAGTCCACTTCCTTACTTGTTATACACCAGTGATTTTCCGAAAATAGATGTAGTAAAAATTGCAACATTTTCAGATGACAGAGCGGTTGCTAGGACCGACTATCACCCATTCAACCAAAATCCTCCAAAATTCTTATAATGAAATAAACGAATGGACAAAAAAATGGAAAATCAAGCTAAATCAGCAAAAATCAGTTCATCTAATCTTTACAAACAAATTATTTCACTAATTTTGTGGTCCACTTGACCAATTAATACATAACAATTAATTAAGGTTTTTAGTTGAGATGAAAAAAAGTCAATGGCACGAGAGGGATTCGAACCCACGACCTTCGGCTAGATACGCCACTGCTCTACCACCTGAGCTATCGTGACCTCGATCCACTCGGACATCAACTCCCCATCTCAACCCCACCTTATGAGTTTTCCCTCCTTTTGCCATTTTTCAAATTTACAAACAAAAAAGGGCACCATGTTCCGTCGCTCACAATTTTTTTCCATGGTCTTAAAATTGGTTTATTAGCCATAGGTTACTTTTAAATACATATATATGCATATACACATACACATATATATACACAATCACACATACGCGCGCGCGCACACACACACACACACACACACACACATACCTATTTATATTTTTGAAAAGCAATAAATATTGTTATAAATAAAACAAATAGAATAATAAATATGTGTAAATTAACTATAACAAATAATAACAATTAAATAATTATATATCCATGTGTATCTTTAAGTGAAGAACTGAATTATAAATATTTACACTGTGATCTCACAGGGCGTTATAAATTTATATGGGCTATCATAAATGTCACTATCTTCTGATGCCAGTAATGTGTCTAGGTTGTAAGAGTGTTCTATTAAAGAGGACTTTATGATATGCTTTCCGTCCGAGGCGTATATTTTTTACAAAGCTGAAGAAGCTCACAATCGATGGAACTACTATACCATCCAGCGATAAGGTAAATATCTGGGAATGACCTTAGATGCCAAGCTGAGATGGAAAGAAAACGTGAAGAAAAAAAGGACAGAAATAGGTTTGAGGTATAGACAACTATACTAGTTGATAGAACGTGGCCCCAACTTTGCAAAGATAAAATATTATTATATAAAAAAAGTCATAAAGCTTATATGGAAATATGGTATTCAATCGGGTTGTACCAAACACAGCAATATTAAAATCATACAAACACTCCAAAGTAAAATCTTACGTAACATGGTCAATGCACTTTGGTACATAAGGAATAAGGACATACATAGGGATCTTAAGATCCCTGAGGTCTCGGCGGAAATACAGAGATTTGCCCCCAAACACCAGGCGAGAATGTGGAAGCGACCAAACTCTTACATAACCGAAACATGGCAAGAAGATTAAAAAGAACAAAGCCATATTAACTTGTGTAGTTAAATAGTGAATAGCGATATGTAAATCATATTGTACCAATGGGTTTATAAACATTTAATTTTTTTTAACGAGGGTTCGCAACAGCAGAGTTCGTATAAACGCTCAGGGTGCCGGTGTACAAAAAGCCCATTTGTAAGTACGTCGGTATCGAATGCAGGACCGCTGGATTCGAACCCGGGACTTTTACCTTACAGTGATAAGAGCCGTGTCAACGCCGAAACCGTTGCTGCCACCGTCGCCCCATATTTATTTATTCTATAATATTATTGTAAAATTAATGATTGGTCTAATAAAACCAGTTTTAATAAATAAATTTAATATAAAAAAAATCTTACATGATTGAGTAAAGGATTCAATTTTTGTAAAACCAATTATAGAACCAAAAAACTAAATTAAGTTCGTATTGCACTAACAATTCATATTACATGATAATCAATTATTACTGCTACTTTGACATTGTTGTTAAACAGCACATGTAAAAAAAACGACAATTAACATTAGTACGCGTCGAGTAACTCGAGCAAACTCTCAACAATGAATACGTTTTTTCATGAATATACAATGTCTTGTGTTTTAATTAATTAATTGTCTGTTTTGTACAGTCATTACTCTATATTCGGTCTACCGGCCCTCTCTCAGATCCCGTGTTGACCAAAATTGGATATGTGTGGCGTTTTTCCGATAATTGGGTCTCGTGTTCGCATTGGATAAAGTAGATTAGTGGATATACAGCGACGTTTTGACAAGATTAGAACCAGGACGTTCGCTTTTAAACAGTTAAACAACAGGCGTATAAATTTCGAATATTACGTTTTGAATAACTAATGGGAAATTCAGCGGTTTTCCCTATCAGCGACGGTTCATTAAACGTGAAAAAGGTATCAGTAGATGATTATAAACCAAATTAAAAATAAATAAACGGGACAGTACAATCAACTGGAAGAAATCAATCAGTCGTGCAATTTATGAGAGGATGTAATGAAAAGAAGATTCGAAAGAAATATTTCCAATCAAGCATCATTTATAGTCCTTTAAAAAGTGGATAATTTAATAATTTAACTTAATTAACAAAATTGAAAAAATCTGATTTAAAAATTATTTTTAACATATACCTATGTTATTAACGTTTGCAATCTTTAATCAAAACGTCATATCGAATGAATTTTGAACTCTAACATAACTTTTTAGTGTTTATGGAACCGTGCATAGCATAATAGATAGTAAAAAAACGAAAACCCATTAGAATAAATATAAATTTGTATTTTTGAAAAACTAGAAACGATAATACTTGAAACGGATAAATTAAATATTTAGGTAAAAGAGTTCAATTTTGACGAAAAAATATCTTCAGCTGCAACTTTGAAGATGTTTAAAAATATTACTTAAAAATACATTATTTATACTAAATGTTTGTTCGGTCACAGAACAAATTGTATTGTTCAATGTGATGTAGTTGTATTTATTGCTAGTAAACCATTCGTGATGTAGTGTTTAATTTATTTTATAATCCATTTACGTTTTAGTGGTCAATTGACCAAGTTACTTATTTCAATTAATTATTATTTCTATATAACGTCTAGGTTGGGATAAAAAAGTCAGAGTCATGAGCGGGATTCGAACTCACGACCATCGGCTAAATTCGCCGCTGCTCTACCACTTGAGCTATCGTGACTTCGATCCACTCGGACACCAACTTTCCATCCCAACCCCACCTTTTAAATTTTCTCTCGTTTTTGCCATTTTTCAAATGTCGTGCAATCTCGATTTTTATCTCAACTAAAAACCTTAATTAATTGAAAGTAAATGACGATTACAATTAATTAAAGTTTTCAGTTGAGATAAAAAAGTCAATGGCACGAGCGCACTTGAGCTATCGTGACTTCACGGAAATATTTAGCCGAAGGTCGTGGGTTCGAATCCCGCACGTGACACTGAATTTTTTATCTCAACCAAGACCTTATATAAACAGAATAATTATTTTATAATGCCGAAAAAATTACAAATCAATTTAGTGTTCTTTTAATTGTTTTATTAAGTTCAACGCAGAAATTTAGTCGTCGATTAATCTAAAAACTTTTGTAATAATTATTTTACGTTTGAGTAATTTATTTTGCTTTCAGAAGTTTATCTATTATCATCAGTAAAAAGTCTTCTCTAAACTTGGCCAACCATATCTGGAGCATTCCCCTACTAACAGCGTCCCGCGACGTGACTGACATTTTTCTCTTTCGCCAACTAAAATAGAGTTTATTTTGTTCTCAGACGAAAAAAACGAACTGAAACTGACTACCAAAGCAGCAAAAATATAAAAGAAAGTTATTAGTTATATAAAAAGTTGGCAGGAATTCAGTTAGTAATGATCGCAAAGCAAGTTGTGGAAATTTAAAATAATTTTGGCTATCATAGTATAATGAAGACATGTAATACTTTTATAAAGTCATAAGTATAGTCGTGTGTACTTATTATAAAAATAAATTCATACTTAACTATATGAGACTTACTTGAAGCATTACTTGCAATAACGGTTTATCTGAAACAGATAAAACATACTTGATGAGTTACCAAAGGATGTGCGTAGACAAAGTAAAAAGAAAATGTTTGAAAAATAGTATTACAAACCCCACAAATTGCCCTTTTACTCAAATATTACTTAAGATGGGTTTGCTTTTGTAAAAAAATTACCGAGCTAAAATAATAAATAGAATACTAAGTAAACACAACTTATTACAAGTACTTTTACAAAGTCTCGTCATCCTCTTTTTTTATCTAGTTGATTAACACTGAACACTTTACATAAACTCACTAATTTCGTGGTCCGCTTGACCAATTACTTTGCAACTTTACATAAATTTTCTAATATGCGAATAGATTATTTTCCAAATGTAAAAAATAATCGACCAACATTCCATAATAAATGAAAAATCCTGCTGCTTAATAATGGAATTAAAAGCTGAGTAGTTTAAACATTTAATTCACACCCTGCCTAAACATGCAAGAGTATTGTAGACAAAGTATTATTTCTCACTCTCTCTCTCTCTCTCTCTCTCTCTCTCTCTCTCTCTCTATCTATCTATCTATCTATCTATCTATCTATCTATCTATCTAATCTCTCTCTCTCTCTCTCTCCTCTCTCCCAAAAATATTGGCTGTTTTAAACAATATTTTATTTCCAAAAACACACATTTCTATAATAAAACTATGGAAAGGTTAACATGATTTTGTATTTCATTTATGCTTTTATAACTGAATGTAATAGATGTTAAATCAATTAGAGTTCGTGGTCCGATTGAACAAATAACTTCTTCCAATAAATTAATTTTTATGTAAGGTATTGATTGAGATAAAAATGTCAGTGTCACGAGCAGGATTCGAACCCACGGCCTTCAGCTAAATACGCCGCTGCTCTACCACTTGAGCTAACGTGACTATAGCCACACTAAGGTCAAATTAGCTCAAGTGGTAGAGCAGCGGCGTATTTATCCGAAGGTCGTGGGTTCGAATCCCGCTCGTGACACTGACATTTTTATCTCAACCAATACCTTACATAAAGATTAATTAATTGAAAGACGTTAATAGATATATTTTTTAAATTGGAGTACGTTAACGTTAAACGTTTTACATGTTTAAAGAAGACTAACAAATGTTTTAACCGTGTCATTCGACCATTTGCATAATTTTGCCACCGAGTGATCACTCATTTGCACGCTTTCAGAGCCGTCATTGTGCTGATAACTTCATTAGCAAAATTGAAAACAATCGGGACCAGTTTTATCGTTGACTTTGAAAACCCGCTGCCCCATTATCGGTAAATCATCACTGCGTTGATTTGGCTGGAAAACAGCTAGATTTTTCTTTCCGGGGGATCCAAAGAAAATTGTCAACAGAATTTTTAGAATAGAAGTCTTAACAGTTCAGCTTATATTTTGTTTCTGGAGTGTATTTATAAACAGTCTTAGGCGAAATGTGAATTATAATAGTTTCACATCTCAGAAGTAGTTGAATTCCTTTTCTCTATTCTGCTGTGCCATCGCCATTTTCACCTATTCCACAGATATTAGTAGTTGAAACGATTTGAATATTTGCCATAAATATTTGCTTGTTAATAAATGAATGAATGAATAATTTTATTCTTACCGAGTTTACAAACTATTAACAATGAGTAAAAATATCGATACAGAACAATTATAGTATAAAATACAATTACTGTGAGGGGTTTAGCCATATGCTTTTATTGATTTAATTTTTTTTTTATAATTTGTAGTACATTACAACTACCTTAAAGAAGATAATAAGTAACAGTGAGCAAGGAAATTAAAACAAGACAAAATTAAAACCAAGAGTGGAGAAAACACCCATTGATATTACTCCAATGTTACAATAATATTGTTTGTTCAATTGATTCCTGTGTCATTATCACTTTCACTGTCATCACCATCACTTCCTAGGAGATCTCGCGGCCATTGTCTCTTCAGTCGGCGGGGAGGGTTTGAGGGGATTCGTCGGGATACGAGGTTTCTGATGTGTTGGTTTACGTTAGTTGGGAGGTTTTTCTGAAATTTACGGTAACGGAAACGTATTTCATCTTGTACGATAGGAATATGTAAATCTGTATGTGTAGTTTGGTTCGATACATAAAATGGAGCATCTAGTATTTTTCGTAGTATTATAGACTGGGCAGTTTGAATGCAGTGGATATTGGAATGTTTGGCTGAACCCCACACTTCCAGTCCGTAAGTCCAAATCGGCTTAACTATGGTGTTGTAAAGCAGCCTTTTATTTTTGAGAGGTAAATTAGAGCGTTTGTCACGAAGTCGTGCAAGAACTCTAAATCGTGTCATAACCTCCTGACGTTTCAGTCTTGTGTGAGGATTCCACGTCAAGCGTTTGTCGATGTACAATCCGAGGTACCGCACCTTGTCCGCAGTAGGGAGGGGAATATTGTTTAAGAAAACAAGGGGGGGGAGATCTTTTTACGAAGAGTGAAAGTAATGTGGGTGGATTTGTCTGTGTTAAATTTTATCCTTTTCTTTTTACACCAAGACTCTAGTAGTATGAGGTGTTGTTGGAGGTTTCGAGTGGAAATGACAAGGTCGGAGGTGCTAGAGAGAATTGCCGTATCGTCTGCAAATGTGAATGTGGTGGTTTCGGGATGAGATGGCAGTGAAAACCTGGTACAGTGTAGGGGCCAGAACCCTGAGGAACACCAGCATGGATAGGAAAATATGAAGAGAGGGAATGGCCTTCGATGACTTGGAAAAATCGGTCAGTGAGGTAACTGTGGAGTAGGAGATATTAGGTGGATGGAAGGATGCCCTTGAGCATGAACAGCAGGCCCGGGTGCCAAACTCGATCAAAAGCATGGCTTACGTCAAGAAAGTCTCCGGAACAGTACTGTCCCATCTCAAGGGAGGATGAAATAATGTCTACCACACGGTGACACTGCTGGACAGTTGAGTGGCGGTTGCGAAAACCAAATTGATGGTCTGGGATTATGTTTTGAGATTGTAGAATCGGAAGAATTCTTTTCATTAGGAGTTTTTCTAAAATTTTACCCAAAGTAGATAGTAGACTTATTGGCCTATATGAAGTAGTACAATGTGTTGGCTTTTTTGGCTTAGGGAACATTCGAATATACGAGTGCTTCAAAGCTATAGGGAAGTAGGTTGTACGATGAACGGAATTAAATAGGTATGTAATGAATATGATGGCCTTTTTGGGAAGGTGTTGGAGAATTTTTGGAGTAATAAGATCAAAACCTGGAGCTTTCTTGGATTTTAGGTGTTGTATGGTAGAATGAACGTCAGAAGGTGAAAAAGCTTTTGGAGGGAGGGATAATGGAATCGGTGAATGTAAATATTCATTGATAAGTTGTGAATAAGTATGGTCTATTATGTTGACATGTGGGGTGAACACTGTGTTCAGGAAAGAGGCAAAAGCATTCGCTTTTTCCTCATCAGACTTGGCCCAACTGCCGTCGACTTGGCGAAGCGGGGTGCTTTAACATTTTCGACATATCGTTATGCAAGCCACCCCAAATCCTGCGCGGCGCTAGTGTGTCACTGGTTCACACCCTTCTAAAATATGTTTCACTGTAACAGCCGCGTCGTTCAAGGGGCATCCCATGGGTCTCTTTCCAACGAGGAGGTTGCCAAGGTTTCACTGATTTTAGTTTTTTGGACATGGTAGCCCAGTGGACTTTTCAGTCATTCCAGCTTAATCTTTTCAATAAGCTTTTAACATTCGCTGAGCTGAACGGTGTGTCCGTGTCATGAGGTATGGTTCCTGCTTCTTTTGCCGCTTTGTCACCCTCTTCATTTACTTGGTGAATACACAAGAAGATTACCTCGCATTATTTTTATTTTAATGTCTTTTAGCTTTCATAAAGCTTTCCGATTAAGGGATTAAAGGAGAATTTAATTTGCATAGTTGAGACCGCTAATTTTGACTACAAATTTTGAGCCGGGCAGGTTATCTATTTCGCTCAGTGCGAGAGATATGGCGGTCAATTCTGTGCTGTAGTTTTCCCCAGAACTTCTCGATCCGTCTATGTATATAAATTGTGCTCCTTTCTTTCTAGTCGCCATGTCGAACCGCACAATTGGTGACGGGAGAGTCCACGATTTCGTCTTTGATTTGGTGACCGGGAGAACTTTATCCACACTTGCTCCCGTCTAAGCCATCAGTTCATGCAGTCTTACGCCCATCTCGTGCGGGTTATTAGCTGTGCGTACTCTTCGGCTTGTTCATTATTGAATAATACTGATTGGATAAAATCTGACTGTCTTGGCAATATACATCCACCATAACTCAGCATAAGCTGGTTTCTTTTCTGGTTGGAAGGCATTATTACCTCTGCCTGCACACACAGGCCATTTATTAATGGGGCTAATTCTAAACAAAATACTCAACCCTGCAGTAAATATGTTGTTCCATTTTATTAATCTTGTTTTCCTAGTCGGGGAGTAAACCATTAAACCATAAATTAGTTTAGTGCAGTGATTTAACTATAGTCAGTAAAACCCTTCCCTTGATGCTCCCGATTTGTAGCTACCTGCTGAACTTCCTGATAATGAGACATTTCTGCATTGAGATACTGTCTAATCTAATACGTTTTCCACTTAAATCTTGAGTTACACATTAGGTTGAGGTGTCTGATAGTTTTGTCGTACTCGTGTACCACTCGGTTCATGGTTAGAGGAGAGAATGTATGCTCTCTCCTCAATCTACAGAAGAAAAAAATTCTTTTGCGTTTGGTAGACCAATAATGGTTGGCGACTCAAATTACGAGGTATATATTTTATTAATATAGGTAGTAATTTTTAAAAAATTATCTTAGCCCTCAAGAATGTAAATCCTCGTTCAGCGTCTGTAAAAACCGTGTTTATCGCTGTTTGTTTCGCCGTTTTANTTATTTGTTGAAAATGTCAGTAAACTTTAAGCTCAGCAGGGACTTTTTTTTTAACAAAAATGTAAACGATAATTTCGAGATTTTTTCTTGTTCTTATTTTCAACCTTTACCCCAATTTTTCT